CAGTTAGATACTAATTAAAAACAAGCAAATTAGGTCCATAATAGCCGCAAAGAGTCAGACACTGCTGAGTGACTGAACAACAGACCTCCAAGCAAGTTTCAATGAGAACAAAAACAGGAGAGAACCTTTAGCACTTCTTGTCTCTGCATTACTTAGCACTTTTCTAATTTCACCTTCCACCTAGTCTAACAGGCAAGCTCAAGTCTTCTCCATGCCAATAATGACATGAAACCGCCCTTAACTTCTTTCTACTCATCTGGAAACTGGGTCCATGAGAAGGTTGGGAAACTGGAAGAAAGAGGAAAGAACGGACTATAATCAGGGGCTAGGTTGAACCATGGGACAAGGCACACAAAGCGCTTTGTATACACAATATGGGCAATGACTTAGAAACAAGTGGTTTGGTAAAGTGTTGGGTTTTTTTTTAAGACAGTGAAAAGTTAGAATTTACTTTTACCAAGGCTAAGGTAACCATCTTTTAAAAAATATGTCCTATGGTATTATCTTTAAAGTCAGAGTTCTATAGATGCAAGTGCCAATCCTGCAAACATGCCTTAGTGCTTTGCTTCTAAAATTGCTTTGAAGATTTCCTCCCTTCTATTTCTCTTAGAGGAGTCTAAAGATACTCTAACATACTCTCCGCCTCAAACACTTCCTCCCATGTACAAGCTCACGCATACATAACCACACACATGCACTGCCCCCCTCCCCCCCCACCCCCCTGCCATCACATGCTCTCTGCTGAGCAGACACCATTTATAATTGTCCTCCCTCTGTGTGTCATTTGGGATTTACTGGTATTTTCGTTAACAGGTTGATTCTAGGCTCTTATAATATAAAAAGCACTTTGTATACACAACATGGGCACAGACCCAGAGTAATGTCTTTAAAGCCTGGGGCACTTTAAAATTTGTTTTACATCAAGCTAATCATGTTATGAATCTGCATTTTCATTATACATCATAACCATCCTTATTTTTCCTAATGACATACAAGATGAGAAGAAACAGAACGCATATGTTAAGGCTACCGTCTGATCTCCCATTTGTTAGAGTAAAACTAGACATTTTAGTAGAACCGCAGATGAATTACATAATATTTATGAAGGGATCTTATAATAAAAGTGAAGAAATCAAAACCAGATGAAAGCAGATAAAAGCTTTATTTTCATAATTAAAATTATATTACACTGAATTGAATGAGTACTTACACAGTGGTAACAAATTACTGTGTAGAATATCATGTTACTTTGCATGACAAGTTGCTAAAATATACACAAATTTGTGACATAAAAAATATCTCAAGGTTTCCTACCTTCACAGACAGAAATTAAATTAAAATGATCAAGTATCCCAACCATTGTCCAAATGGTTAAAGTTATATTAGAGGTAAAGTATCCACCTTAAATAGTTAAGTATATTAAATTTAATTTTATATTCACTGCACATGTATTTAAGCACACAGTATTATTTTATACTACAAAGATTTCCTTCTAATTTTTTTAAAGTTGCAATTTGTCTCCTTAACAGGTATGCATTAATAGGAAACAGATAAGCCATGTTTATGTTTTAAAGGGCCTGGCATTTTCTCATTGACTAATAAAGGATATATACGCTTGTTTCTTAAATTACTACCCAAAATAAAGCGGAGTTGGTGAAAAACTACGGAATCTACATAGCATAGACAGTCAAACTAGATATAGACAAGACGATGTATCCACAAGTTCACCTCAGAGGATTCTATGACTGAGTGGCTCACACTATCTAATTCAGCAATTCTGTGCTTCAATCTCTGTGCTAGGTCACAGTATAGAATAAACCAACAGCTCATAGAAAGCATGTACATTTTTCTAGGCTCTTAAGAAAATTCTATAATGAAGGAATAGCTTAATTTTTAGGATCATAGCAGTATAACATTTGCATCAGTCCACATTTTACAAGAATGACAGAACAAAATGGATGTGGCATGTAGACCAATATGAATAAGAAATCCTAATTTTAAAAAGTTTGAGGGGCTTTCCTGGTGGTCCAGTTGTTAAAAACCTGCCTGCCAATGCAGGAGACATGGTATCGATCCTGGTTTGGGAGGATCCCACATGCCGTGGAGCAACAAAACCTGTGAGCCGTAACTAGAGAAAGCCTGAGCACNTGCTTTATAATGTGTTGGTTTCTGCCATATAACAATGTGAAGCAGCCATAAGTATACATATGTCCCCTCCCTCCTGAAACTCCCTCCCATTCCGCCACCTCATCCCATCCCCTCACCCCATTCCATCCTTCTAGGTTGTTTCAGAGCACCAAGCTGAGCTCTCAGTATTTAAGATTACCTTTTTTTTTTAATACCAATTTTTAAAATATTGTATCATTTAAGAAAACGCAAATTAAAATGACATAACATTTTATTCTCAGCTCAACTACAATTAAAAATTCTGACAACTCTAAATGTTGGTGAAGTCGAAGCAACAGGAATTCTTATCCACTGCTTTTAGGAGTTCAGTTGAGTTCAGTCACTCAGTCATGTCTGACTCTTTGCGACCCCATGGACTGCAGCACGCCAGGCTTCCCTGTCTGAAACCAACTCACAGAGCTTTCCCAAACTGATGTTCATGCATCAGTCGGTGATGCCATACAACCATCTCATCCTCTGGCATCCCCTTCTCCTTTTGCCTTCATTCTTTCCCACCATCAGGGTCTTTTCCAGTGAGTCAGTTCTTAACATAAGGTGGCCAAAGTATTGGAGCTTCAGCTTCAACATCAGTCCCTCCAATGAACATACAGGACTGATTTCCTTTAGGATTGACTGGTTGGAGCTCCTTGCATTCTAAGGGCCTCTTAAGAGTCTCCTCCAATATCACAGTTCAAAAGCACCAATTATTTGGCACTCAGCCTTCATTTTGGTCCAACTCTCACATCCAAACATGACTACTGGAAAAGCCATAGCTTTGACTAGACAGATCTTCATCGGCAAAGTAATGCCTCTGCTTTTTAATATGCTGTCTAGCTTGGTCATAGCTTTTCTTCCAAGGAGCAAGTGTCTTTAATTTCGTGGCTGCAGTCCCAAGAAATAAAGTCTCACTATTTCCATTGTTTCCCCTTCTATTTGCCATGAAACGAAGGGACTGGATGCCATGATCTTAGTTTTCTGAATGTTGAGTTTTAATCCAACTTTTTCACTCTCCTCTTTCACTTTAGTCAAGAGGCTCTTTAGTTCTTCACTTTCTGCCATAAGGATNCATACAGATTTCTCAGGAGGCAGGTCAGGTGGTCTGGTAGTCCCATCTCTTGAAGAATTTTCCACAGTTTGTTGTGATCCACACCATCAAAGTCTTTGGAGTAGTCAATAAAGCAGAAGCAGATGTTTTTCTGGAACTCTCTTGCTGTTTTGATGATCCAATGGATGTTGGCAATTTGATCTCTGGAGAAGTATATCAGTTTTGTAAAAGAAAAAAAATACCCTCACAACTAGCAGTTTCATTTCTAGGTATATGTCCTAGAGAAACTCCTATACGTGAGCACAAAGAAAAATACACAAAAATATCTACTACAACATTGTTTCATACAGTGAAATACTTTAAAAATATGTGTTCCTGCTTACCTTGTGGCTCAGATGATAAAGACTCTGCCTGCAATGTGGGAGACCCGGGTTTGATCCCTGGATTGGGAAGATCCCCTGGAGTATGGAATGGCTACCCACTCTAGTACTCTTGCCTGGAGAATCCCTTGGACGGAGAAGCCTAGTGGGGCTACAGTCTATGACTAATACACACACACACATATACTAAAAACAGTAAATCAACTTTAAGGATGATGATAGACTACTATTTTTTTAAGTTTTAAAACAAGCAATAACAAAAATTGCCTATAGATACACATTTGCAGTAAAACTATAAGGACCTGAGTGGGAATGATGAACACCAAATTCAGAACAGTAATCACCTCTGGGAAGAAAGGAAGAAGATAGAAAATGAAGAAAATGAACCAGGGCATTCAATGCCTTCTTTAATGTTTCATATCTTAAAAAAGAGTAAAAGACATTTGAACAAGACAAGACAAAAATATTTCATTTTGGCCATCTGGGTAGATGTACACAGGGATTAATTATATTATTATTTCCAATTTTCTGTATTTATAAAATATTTCCAAGTTTAAGAACAAAACAATGACCTCTCTGTCCTAATAAACATTACTAGACCATTTGTTGGGCTTCCCAGGTGGCTCAGGTGGTAAAGAATTTGCCTGCAATGTAGAAGACCCAGGTTTGATCTCTGGGTCAGGCAGATCCCCTGGAGAAGAAAATGGCAACCCACTCCAGCATTCTTGCCTGGAGCATCCCATGGACAAAGGCGACTGACAGGCTACAGTCCATATGGTCACAAAGAATCAGACACAACTGAAGTGACTTAGTACACAGACCATTTGTTACTATGCATATATCACTTTATAAAAGTCCCTGTATCTCAGAGATAGCAACTACAATTTTAAGTATTTTCCACTTCATAATCTCCTCTAGATCTTTAGGAGGGCATCGAACTTCCCAACCTCACTAAGAGAGAAGTTTAGACCTCTGATGATACATTATCTAGTAAGGTAATTGGTTGTTTTCAAGTTTTCATTATCAGTCTGCATATATTTTAAGTTGGTGTGTCTGTTCCATATTGAAAATTTTTAGGAAAGTGTATTTGAAGAGCTTAACTTCTCCATACAGATTCTTCTTTTCTATGCACTGTAAGATTCATGATGGAGCTAACTTATCCCTTAGCAGGTCCCACTGTCCATTCACAGTGGGAGTTTTCATCCTTAGGACCTGCCTCAGGCAGGGCCTACCCTGGGTAGCCTTCTCTGACTAACTGAGGCCAGGTAGGGCTTCCTTCCTGGAATTTCCTTTGTTCCCACAAATATCTGGATTGGGGGATTTTTCACCCTGCTGTCTGGTAGATAATTCTACCTCCTCTCTTGAAAAACGGGCTTCCACAAAAGCAGCAAAATAAGTTCTGCTTTTACCTTTTCAAGATCTTCTTGCAGTCCTATATTTACATGATACATATCTCCTTAAAGAATAAATGAACAAAAGAAGCTGTGAAAACACCAGTATCTATCTTTCTCTACTAGTATTATTCTTTAGCCAGTACTTCTGTGTCTTAAAAAGGTGAAAGGCAAAATCAACTTTGAATCCGTCTCTTAGGAAATGTCAGTGCTCCCTGGAGGGAAAAATACAACTTATTCTTGAATCCAAGTTTCGAGTCTGAGGGGATATACTTTGCAGTGTTTTGACCTGATAATGAATAGTTCTCAGAACAGCATATGCACTGATATAGTGATTTTTAAGTAAGTATTAACTACTCCTGTACCAAATTGGGATGAGTAGATCCTCATAGATATAGAATATTAAAATATGATCTGAAAGATGTTTCTAAATTACTGTTAATAATTGAAGAATGAAGCTAATGGCTTTCTGGGCATAATGTTAGCCTTATTTTCTAATAAAGACATAAATTTAGAATTACTAAATATTCTGGAGGAGTCAGACCAGTCATCAAGCAGGTAAGTCCAGGATTCAATATGACAGAACACCCTCTAACCCTAAGAGAATGAAGGTCAATCCCAAACTGTTAGCCATCATAGAAGACAGGAATTGGTAGAAATGTAGGTTCAGAGGGAGAAAAGTTAAGAGAAGATCCTCAAAAATATCTTCTGTGGGGTTGGGGAGAGAAGGGATAAATTGGGAGATTGGGATTTACATATACACACAACTATACATAAAACAGATAACTAATGAGGACCTACTGTTTAGCACAGGGAACTCTTCTCAATATTCTGTAATGATCTATATGAGAAAAGACTCTAAAAAAGAGTGTATATATACATAAATGCATGCATGCTCAGTCACTTCAGTCGTGTCAAACTCTTTGTAACTCCATGGACTGTATCCTTCCAGGCTCCTCTGTGATGGGATTTCCAGGCAAGAAAACTGGAGCGGGTTGACATTTCCTTCTCCTTGCCAACTGAGGGATCAAACCTGTGTCTTCTGCATTGCAAGCAGATTCTTTACCGCTAAGCCATATACATATGTGCATATATATAGATATAAAACTCATTCACTTTGCTGTATAGCAAAAAATAACACAACATTATAAATCAACTATACTTCAATACAAATTTTTAAAAAGTTACCTATTACAGTAGCTACTAATTTTACAGCAAGACTTTAACTTTGTATATGCTTTATTTTATTCAAAGAGTAATTTCACCTCCATGTCATCTTATTAGAGACCACAGCAATCCTGAGATTAGAAAGATGAGGTAACGTGCCTTTTCTACAGATGAGGAAACGGAGGCTCAGGGAGGCTAAAGATAAAGAAGGAGAGTCAGAACTGACCCTTAAACCCAATATTTTTTTACATTTAATCCGGTTTCTTTTCAAAATGTGGTAGTCATTCTTCCTCAGGTAATTTTCCTCCACTTACAAAATGATGCTTCTAAGCATTCTAATAAAGAGTTGAGGTGGAATTTAGAAAAATTTGAAACTCTTCTATAACTGGATAATATCAGGGTTACACTTAGTTGTGCAGTTTATTTCTGATTGCATAAATATTCATAGGGAAACACCTAAGAGGAATATTCAAAGCACTGAGCAATGTAGTTCTTATTACATTAACAAAGATCAGATGGATAAATTCCCATTTAATGCTTTGAAGATCTGTCTCTGACATTTTACCATTTAGATAGCTGTAAAGCATACTCTTGATTGTTTTGGGTTTGTAGTAAAAAATACGCTTAACTGTACTAATCACTCTGATACCACTTAGAAAGATGTTTCTGTCTTCCAGTAATGCTAATTCTCTCCATTAAGTCAAATTATTCCATCACACTTCTTCGGTTTCTTTAATTTCACCATTTCCTGAATCTCTGAGTCTCAAAAATCTTAAACTCCCATTCATCTAAGATCAACAGTGTCTCCAAGACCAGGGTCAACAGTAATGATGTAGGTGACAAGCTGCAATGCCTTCAGGAATCACGATGCGTGAAAGAAAAATGGGGAGGGGGCAGGGCTCAGTGCAGTGCAAGCTCTCATGAATGGGTCATTTGTCATTCAAGCCAAATGGATTGGTGTCATGCAGGAGTATGGATTTACTGTTACTGGATCTTCTGAGTGAGAGAAGCCAGCGAGCCATACCTTTTTCATAAGAAAGTTTCTAATCTTTAAATGTTACTATTAAAAATTATTTTTTAAACAGCATATGGACCAACTTAATCTAGAGCAATCAGCATTTGTAAGCCTTGAGTTTACAATTGCTGGACTCAGAACATGCAGAATGGTAGACCCAAAGTCAGATGAGGAAAGACTGTCTTCTTTTACCAGTTACAGTCCAATTCCTAGGCAAATTTAGGGGGAAAAAGTAGGGTGATGTAAACATAACTAGAATGTTAGAGAGCTACAGAATGAATATGGAGAAAGAAATTGTTTATTCATGTCAACATAAGTGAATATTGATGAGAAGCCAAGAATAAGGACCTTTGTAAAGGAAGAGCTATAACCTTCTATTTTATGACAATCTGATATAAAGACTCAAAAAATAACTGGAAACAATTTTTCATTCTGAAGCAAATTACTTATATCATCCTATTGAGTAAAGGCTTTGGGAAATGGTTCTAGACATAGATTTTATTAGTAGACAGGGATTAGTTCATTTCATGTCAATAAACATCTTATGGTCCCTCATGTGGGCTAAACTGTACCCAGTGGTGAGAATATAGATGAATGAGATATTTCCCTGCCCTCACAAAGCTCATCATCCAATAGGCAACCATAGCACATGATGTGACCGATTTATGTGAAGGCTTCTAGGGGGGTATAGGAAAAGATTAGGGGGCACTGAATAGGTAGATTGTGAAAATTAGTAGTGGCTTACTTCAAGTGATCATGGAACTACATACTGAAGAATAAATGGAAGTCATTCAGGTAAACTGGCAATGACAAATAAAACAGCATTTGCCAAGGGTTGGAACACAGAAGCATATGGTGTCTTTATCAGTGTACAAGCAGAAAGTCATTGACAACATTAAAGAAAAACGAACTTTGCCATCTATTTTAGATAGATGATTTGGTGGACTTTGTAAGGGATAGAATTAAGAGAGACAAATATAGGGTAGAAACACCACTAAAGAGATCAAAGTTGTAGTCCAGTTGAGGGATAAGGACCTAGACTAGAGAAAAAAAGATAAAGGCTTTTGAGAGAAAAGGGAGAGACCTGAAAAATACTGGGAGGATTTATTATTGGAACTGAATGATTTATATGAGGGAAAGGAATGCCAATGATTCATGAACTTCTGCTTTGAGGTCATAATGTAGATAGTGGTCTTGGAATCAAGAGGAACAGTAGTTGTCAGGGAAGATAATAGTAATACATTCAGTTTGGATGCTCTTAAGGTAGAGGTGCTTATGGGATATTCAGGTGGAGATTTTCAGTTTTAAATCTTGGGGCTAGGATATGAGCTGGAAATATACTTTTGAGAACGCTTAGAAGACAAGTGGTGGTTAAAGCATGAGAACAGTAGAGAATGTTTAAGTAGGGTAAGTGTGCAAAGAGAGGAACATAGAAGCCTAGGACAGCAGTGTAACTTAGACAAAGAATCATCAGAAAACCACAGATAGAATATGTCAAAAGACTTCAAGAAGTGAAGAAATAGTATTGTACAACCAGTACATGCCAGGAACTGTGTTGAACCTATACACAGTGTCCGTAATCCCAGAAGTTATCATTAAATTGTACTCATCAAGAAAACTGAACTATCCCAAAAGGTAAAATATCTTGCTCAAGTTCACTCTGGAATTAAGATACCTGTGATTCAAACCTAGTCCTGCCCCATTTCAAAGACTGAACAATTTCTACTTCATCAAGTTGTCAGGGATCCTCAAGGTCAAACAACAAAATGGTCAAGGATGAAAAGTGCCCAGAATCGGCAATATGAAGGCTGGTAGTAATCACAGCTAGAATCCCTTAGCATTTGGAAGGACTGGCAAGTCAAGAAATGGATTTAGGAAATACATACAATTCTTGTAAAAAAGCTTGGCTGTGATGATAGGAAAAAGAAAACAGAGGGGGACATGAGTTAGATAGTGAGGGTAACCATAGTTATTCAATTGTCTGTTAAGTATTTTACAAGATATGCACTATTACAATGGCTAATGTATCATTTAATACAGAAAGAGATGGTGAAAGGCCCTTTCTGGAAGGGTGACTATACCGATCATCTCTACCTAGCTTCAATTCCAGCTGCATAGGGATAAGAACCAGAGATAAAGGTGACACTGTCCAATCTTCTAATTAATGCCACATGAAACAAACAAAAATACAGAGCTCCTATGACACTCTGATGCTGAAGCCCTATCACACATGTTTGAGAAGAGAAAAATGAGCAGGTCTTTCTTGGCACTGTAGTTTAGATCAGAGGAAGTATATTTTAATAAGTCCGAGAATTGTAGTCAAAATCAGCTTGGAAATGAACTGAATTATGTAAGTCCATCTTATGCAGACTGGCCCTGGTTATCAAACATCATGCTGGCACCTTCACAGCACCCAGCTAGTTCCTGGGGATCTGGGAAGCCAGCCAGTTCCTATACACTAGCCCCTCTGTAGATGAAAAGATGTAGAGTATTCCTCTTCCGGGCTCCCCTCGCCCTCTGTACCAGGATGCCTGCCCATCTGGTTTACCTCAAGACTTCACCAAAACAATTAAGAAGCAAAAACAACAACCAAAAAACATTTTTTTTTTTAAAGGAAGAGAGGAAAAACAACACCTACCTCCCTTCGCCAGAAATACATTTCTGCCAGGAAACTCTCATGATCTTTTCATTCTAATGACTTCCCCGATGGCTGGGGGGTAAAATACGCCTGCAATGCAGGAAACACAGGAGACTTCTGTCTGATGCTAGGAAAGACTGAAGGCACAAGAAGAGGGTGGCAGAGGATGAGGTGGTTAAATAGCATCATTGACTCAATGGACATGAATCTGAGCAAACT